CCAAGTGGGTGATCTCTCTGTGCACCACAGGCGAGCTGTGTGTTGTCATGTATGGAGGAGGGAAGGATAAGGATAAGTCATATGCGAAGCTGAGCCTCGCCCGGGCTATGGGGGAGCCCGGCCTGTGCCGACTAATGTCGACTCGATCACCGTATGTCAGCAAGTGCTGACGCGACAGAGCTTAGTCCTTACCCACCGTGGTGCCCGGCCACAGCAGTAACCTCCGGGCGACAATTGCAACTTCTCGCGCCTGGGCGGGGCGCGAACCGCCGACCCCTCGGATGAGAGGCCGACACGTTACCACTGTACTAGCCTGGAGGTTAGGAGGGAAGGGAGAGGAAGCGGTATAAGAGGGAAGGGAGGAGAAGCACTCGGGAAACACGGGGCAGAGGAGGACAGGAGAACGGAAGCGAAGGGAGGTCAAGTCAGGTGGAGAGAGTAAACGCAGCACCACGGGAGACGGGGCAGGTGAGGACAGGAGACACGAAGCGAAGGGGGGTCAGGTCAGGTCGAAGGATAAGGCGGTCTATGTGACGGGTGACCAGCGTAAGGAAGGAGACGAAGGATGTGGGAAGCGAGGAGGCTGTCGGCAGGAGAAAAACCGCTGTTCAAGTTGAAATTGAGCAGCATCTTAATCAGAGAAGATTCCACCAGTCTAAGGGCATGGACATCAGTGGAAGGGAAGAGAATACGTGCTGCTTTCTAGGCCATCTGATGGCCAGTGTCCCACTGATGGCAGAAGAGGGAGTTGTTGTTATGTCCCCTGGATACAGCATACTTATGCTGAGACAGACGCTTAGTAAGACTGGCGCCTGTTTCACCAAAATACTGCTTATCACAGGAGGCACATGGAACAGCATAGGTGCCCATCTTCGAGGTGGAGGGGGGGGCAGGTGTGAACCAGGTTACGACGGAGAGTATTCACCTGGCGAAAGGAGAGTCTGCAGTTGAGAGACTGCAGGGGCCGACGGAGGGAGTAGATTTCCTCAGTGTAAGGCAGGCTGAGGACAGGCAGGTGAGGAGACTCATTGGGAGGGGAGTGTCAGGGTTTTTGTGTTGCCCTGATTTGTTGGGTTCATGGAGACACAATTCTGGTTCAGCTGTTTATTGATAGGAGGGTAGGTAGTGTGGCGCGGGGTGACTCGTGCAGTGTAGCTGTGGGCAAGGGAAGCCAAAGGGCGCCGAGCGGGGCGCGCGTGGGGTGCCCCTAAGGAGAGGTGTGGTCAGGGCCGTGGGCCCCGGTCAAGTGTGCTACCTCGGGTCAACCGTGTGTAGGTTCCGAGCGCTGGTCGCGGGTCCCTAGTGGAGACTCGGCAAGGTAACCCTTGTTCCTCAGATCGCTCGGCATCCTGACCGTCGTCCGCGTCGGTCTGGTGCTGGCGTTCTCTGAAATAAGTACACCAGAGGCAGAGACTGGGCGAGAGACAGGAGGGCAAAAAGGGGGGGGGGGGTGTTATAGCAAGGGCCGTAAGATATAATCAAAATATATCACATTGCAGTGACAGTGTTCATTCAATTATTTGCATGATTTTTTTTTTTTTTTTATTTTTTTAATAATGCACTGTCCAAAGATAAACAGAGGAACATGCTTAGGGAGACAATTACAATAGTTCGCGAGGACTTGCTTGAATTGCAATTGCCTCAGATAGCAGGAGATGAAAATCTACGAGATAAGCATTGTGCAGAACTACCAGGAAGCAAAAGGTGTCGCAGTCCGCAAGGACTTGTCTTGAACGATGAACTTCCTTGGAAAAAAGAAATAAAAATGCAACAGTGCAGAGTTCAGGTGTGCAGTGCAATAGTGCATACGGTATACGTCTGACTAATAGTAATTGAATATCTCATTTCATTGAAGTTGTCTATCACACGTCACCAACCGCAATTTGAGGCAAAGCAATAATGAAAACAGGTAATGCAGTCTTCGGGAGCGACTCATTACATCAAAATATACTTTCTCAAGACAACATTTGCACGAAAAAACGTAATGCAAGCCAAGAATACACTATTGACGCAAGTCGGTTATCTTCCGGAAACAGTACACATGTAATTCTTGTGCAATTAATGGGTTTCTGCGGGGCGATGTGCGCATGTGGCTGCGTGAGTCGTGAGTAGACAAGTGTTAGTGAATCGTGAGTTATGAAATAAGTCAGAGTACAGCACACAAGTAGAAAATAGAATGCTGGTAGATATTCATTAGTTTTTTAGTCATTAGTAAGTAAGGCGAGAGTGAGTAAAAAAAGGAATAGGATGGCATGGAAGTTGGAAGAAATAAGCGAAGGGGAGGGTGTGGGCGGAGGCTAAGGGAGGATGGGGTGGAGTGGGGTGTAAAAGAGGTATGGGTGAGGATGGGGGGTGGGGTATGTAGACGGAGGTGGCAATGTGGATTGCACGCAATGAAAACAATCACCAATCTGACTTCACGAAAAAAAAAATTCACACTAATAACAATGAACTTACGTTAATTGCAATATTAATCAACTACTATGCGAAATCATAAAAATGGTACTTTAATTAGTACGTAAAATGAATGAAACGGTGACTGGTTTAGTTCAGCTTACCTGAGACAACTGACAGCCAAATGACAACCCTCATGGTTGTAAATGATACTTAAAATAAATTCCCTGAGGAAAGTGATGACGTGATGAACCAACCGTAGAAGGGACACATCATCCAGCTTATACGCAAAACGCAATTGGTTACCCATCTTCTTGGGGAATACCAGCAATAATCTCACGTATAGCGATAAGAAGGCGCGTGGCGCTGAGATCGCCTGGGCGATAGGTGTGCGACTCAGCACATGAGAACAACTTAACATTAATTACCTTAACCT